ATGCAGCCTGTGGAACGTAGGAGAGAGATGCCGGTTCATGTAGGGGGTTCTGCAAAAAGGCGTCACATGCGGTCACAGTGGGATCTCGCCGCGAGCGATGTCACGCTTTTGTCACGATATGGGCCCGGGAGATGTGCAAAATTGCCTCTCTATCTCGACACGCTCGTAATTTACTCTATCGGGCTGGTGTATTGTACTGTAGACGGCATATTCATGATATCCCAAGCCATTCCGCTGCAGTCCGTTGAGAGCATCACGAGAGATCTAGCGGACACTGTTTCTTTCCCATGGCCTACAGGACCCGTTTTCTCTCCCTCTCTTCAACCACAGCAGATATTCCCATTCTGACTTGGCAGAGGGTCTATTCTAGTGTATATATACCTTCCTGAGCTTACCCAACATTTTTTGGTTGAGTGTGGAATGAGATATAAGGGGGTGAGGGGGTTCTGCAAATTTTGCAGAACCCCCTCAATGATAGTACTGAACGCGCCATGGCCATGGGCCAATGGCTCTCTGCCTAGGAAGAAGGTGCAAGACACAGCTCCAAAGTTGAACAAGCTCAAGTTATGACAGCCGCTTGCAGATCGATAGACCATCAATTCAGAAAACCACGTATAGTCGGAGTGGGTCGGAGTGGGTGCCAGGGACGTCGGAAGAAGGTAGAGAAGTCCAGATGGTCTGATTTCTGTCTCTCGGGGACTTGAAATTGCTTGTCAGACGTGGTCCGACTGTAAATGATTCTCAAAAAGTGGGCCCATCGATCTGCAAATGGCTGGAAAGCTATTGAAAGGTACAAATGGTACAACGATATCAAGGGGTTCCCGTCTTCACATACTAATTCTCCTCGATCGTATCTTTCACCTCGAAGACGATCTTCCCAATCGCCTTCCCACTGTCGATCGTCTCATGTGCCTTCCTCAAGCTCCGGACGCTGAAAACCTCTTTCACGGTGGTCAAGCTCGTCAGTTTACCCTCCTCCGCGAGCTTCGCGACTTCATTCAAAATGCGTCCCTGAGCCTCTAGGTCATAGCCATGCATGGACCGGGTGAACATACACTCCCAATGGAATGAGAGTGATCTGCCAAAGGCACCAAAGAGGCCACCGAGATGAATTGGAACAGCCTCTTGCGACTCGACGATGGAGCCGATACGGCCAAATGGCCGCACGACGGTGGCGAGCTGAGGAACGTAAGGAAGAGGGTCATAGCAGATGAACACGAGAGACGGCGTCAAGTCTTGAGCCTTGAGCTGGGCAGCTGCAAGTCGACATTAATCCCAGGATATTTGATATTGAAGGAGTGGAGACGCACCTAAGTCTTCGCGATGGGAGATAACATGAGTGGCGCCATTCTTCTTCACCCACTCAACGGTCTCTGGACGAGACGCCGTAGCTACTATGTTCTTCACGTTGAACACCTGCGAAAGGCATCACCCTCTATACGTCGCGCAGGCGCGGGAATGAACACTAACCTTGGCAGCAAGTTGCGTCGCAATCGTGCCGACACCCCCAGCGCCATTGATAATAAGTAATGTCTCCTCCTTTGCGGGTGCTGCGTGAGGCTTCAGATTGAACTGATCCTCTAACATCTCCCAAGCGGTCAACGCAACGAGAGGTAGACCAGCTGAGTCCGCGAACTCCCATCCCTTCGGCTTCCTCCCAGCAATCCTAGAGTCAACCACATGGTACTGGGAGTTCGTGCCCGCACGTCCGACAGTTCCAGCATACATGACTTCATCACCCTTCTTGAAGAGAGCTTTCTCGCCGGCTTGCTCAACTACACCTGCGGCATCCCAACCAAGCACACCATTGGGGAAGGCGGCCGCCCCACGGACCTTCGTGTCGGCAGGGTTGATAGACACACCACGGACCTTGACGAGGATGTCATGGGGGTTTTCGAGGGCTGGGACGGGGAGCTCGGCTAGTTGGAGCACAGAGGCTGGACCGGGGCTGGAACGGACGATTGCCTTCATCTGGGTCGCCATCGTAGTCGCGGAAATAGTAGAAATGGGCCGAAAGTTCAATGGGGGATAAGGCTTGGAAAGACTGGCCCAAGTACGACGGCATTTATACAGTGGGAGGAGGCTCTTGGTAATAGCCCGAGTCGGCAGGCCCCGCAGACCGGAAGTCCATCTGTAAGCCGCTGACGTGTCGGGTTGAATTCATTCATCAAGGCTTGACCGAGACGAGAGTCACAATTCTTGGCAAGGAGGATGGGACGTGGCCTGCAATCGGCAGCTCTAGTAGTAGTAGAGCCTGTGCATCTGGGCACCGCAATCGCCACGGCAGCCAGTGGTTTGACGTTCGATATCTGTGTGTAAGCTTCAACAATTGGATAACCATCGCAGTGCTCTCCCCCCCTTTCTGCAGAAGATGCTACGGGGGATAGTAGGGTAAACTACGGATGCACGCTATACAGGCTGAAATCGCTCACCTTTCTCTTCCGCGTGGACCCCCTCTGCATGTACGAACGAGCTAGGAGATCAAGATAGTAAGTTCCTGAACCGGTAACTTTATTCAAATTCAGAAGTTTCTTTCTTCCGTGCCCGGAATGGCCGCAGATTTACGAGGATTTACGTGACTGCCATTGGCCTGTCGATCAGTCAGCGGGAGGGAGGCGTATGTATTGTTGGCTGAGCCTAAGTTCGATCTCCTCCGGCGGATCAACTTGTGGAATTGAAAGGGGAGCACAGCAATTCATGCATATGGCCAGAGAGACTATGTGACAGTCTGTGACAGTATCGGAACGCGCTGGAACGCGCCGCCTCGAGGCTACTGAACACCGCCACGTGGCTTGCTGTAAGTATCTTTCCGCAGAAGAATGAGCGAGGCGCTTGCATGATGGCTACTGTGAACACCAGTCAGAATAAGGGGGCGAGGCTCTGTGAGCACGGAGTAGCCCACTAGCTTGGACACAGAAAATGGGGAAAGTAGACTAAAAACCCTGTGCAGTCCGAGAGACGTTCCGTTTCCCTGCCAGATGGGCGGGAGGTTTGTCTCATGAGGATTCCCAAGTTCCAACTGTACATTCAAGCCAAATCAGTAAATAATCCAGCTATATGTTATTTATGGGCTATTAGAACTAGGATTTTTTCTTGTTTGTCATAGGATTGCCATTGACCACATACGCTCCAAGTCATGCTTTCCTGAGCTTGTGCCACTGAATATTAATGCGGTAGGAGAACGTGCTACCTCCTGATGCAGAAGATCAGATAGATCTGACGGATCTTGGGAAATCTGGTAAGGATTTCGGGGTGCCGTAGCGGGAACGAGCGAGGCGTGCGCATGACGACTACAGTGGACAGGGGAAGCAGAACAAGCTCAAACATTCAAAGCCACTAGTAGTACAACGGTATCAAGCGGGGTATCATCCCAGCTTCTTTTGACGTTCTACGTTCTAATTCTCCTCGATGGTATCTTTCACCTCAAACACTATCTTCCCAATCGCCTTCCCATTCTCCACCGTCTCATGCGCCTTCCTCAAGCTCTGTACACTGAAGACCTCCTGGACAGTCGTTATGTTCGTCAGCTTACCCTCCTCCGCGAGCTTGGCTACTTGGTTCAGGATGCGTCCCTGCGTCTCGAGGTCGTAGCCATGCAGGGGCCTAGTGAACATAAGCTCCCAATGGAAGGAGAGGGCTTTGCCAAAAGCCCCGGTACTCTGGTGGAAGGGAAGGGGATCGTCTGTCTCGACGATGGAGCCGATGTGGCCCCATGGCCGCAGGACCGAGACGAGCTGAGGAAGGTAGTGAGGGGTGTCGTAACATATAAAGGCAAGAGATGGGGTTAGGTTCTGTTCCTTGAGTTGGGTAGCTGTACCCCGAGTTAGCGGTTAGATCACAGCGTCGTAGAACAAATAAGGCATACCAAGATCCTCGCGATGGGAGATAACATGAGTCGCGCCATTCTTCTTCACCCATTCAATCGTCTCTGGGCGGGACGCGGTGGCGATGACGTTCTTCAGGTTGAAAACCTGCAAAAGACATTAGCCTCTAATTAGCTTTACGTGGACACCGGCACTGACCTTGGCAGCAAGTTGCGTCGCCATCGTGCCAACGCCTCCAGCACCATTGACAATTATTATCGTGTCGTCCTTTTCAGGGACCGCATAAGGCTTCAGGTGAAAATGGTCTTCCAACATCTCCCAGGCAGTCAAAGCGACGAGGGGAAGACCAGCAGCGTCAGCCCAACTCCAGCCTTTAGGTTTCCTCCCGACAATCCTAGAGTCAACCACGCCATACTGGGCGTTCGTGCCCGCCCGGCCAATAGAGCCTGCATAGAACACCTCGTCGCCCTTCTTGAAAAGTGCTTTCTCACCCGCTTGCTCGACCACACCGGCAGCATCCCATCCAAGCACACGATTGGGGCGCGTGTTGGACTTGCGGACCTTCGTGTCGGCGGGGTTGAGAGACACGCCGAGGATCTTGACGAGAATGTCGTAGGGACCTTCGAGGGCGGGGATGGGAAGGTCGACCAGTGAGAGCACAGAGGCGGGGCCGGGGTTGGAGGGGACGATAGCTTTCATCTGCGTCGCCATTGTAGCCGTGAACAATTTCGAGAATATGCTGAAGAATCTAATGGCGGCTAGGGCTCGATGGAGATAGCTTGAGTATGTGCAGTATCGCCCTAAGTCTAGCGATATTTATGCATTCGCCAGCATCTTATTCAGCCCCGAACCCATACCGAATGTCTGATCTGTAAGAGCCCGAGCCGACACCGAGGGGCATCTGTAAGAGTCCGAGGCCTGATGTCGCATTGACTTGGCGTCATTCATCAAGGCCCGCTGACTTTGAGGGTAACGAAAGTTCCGTTACGGCGATATCTATCTTTACAGAGTACCTTGGGAAGCGCAAGCATTGACACTACCGCTGTCATCGGACAAGGATCCGCTGATACAGAGATATACATAGATGCTAGCGCTCACCAGAGGCATGAAAGCGCATGATAGCCCGGAGCCAGAAGGCTCAAAGACGAGTTATCCAGTGGATAATTGACTGACGGAGATGCATGAATGTCGAAGTTTCGTCGAAGTTCGAGCAGCTGGATCTAATAAACGCGTGACTGACGCGTCCCATCACGCATCACACCATGTACGTTTCTTGTCGCGCTCTCCCAACTAAGGCTCTCCAGTGAAACTCAGCTCGCAGCAAAAAGTAAAGGTCTGAGCAAGCTACAGTTGTAACTAATGTACAGCATTTTGGATTCATCCTGCGTTGATTCAGTTCTCCTCGATTGTGTCCCTGACTTCGAATACAATCTTCCCAATGGCCTTCCCGCTCTCAAGCAGTTCATGTCCTCTCTTCAGACTCGCGAGGCTCAGGACTTCCTTGACTGTGGTCAGATTCCCTACTTTCCCTTCCTCTGCGGCATCGGCTAGCAGGTTTAGAATCCTGCCCTGCGACTCCTGCTCGTAGTCCTCCGCGGACTTGGCAAACATATACTCCCAATGGAAAGAAAGGGCCTTTGAGAAGGCTCCTCCTGGACCTGCCTGGAAGGGAATTGGCTCTGGTGCACCTACGATGGACCCGATGCGTCCGAAAGGTCGCATGACTGGGACTAGGATAGGCAAGTACTTCAAGGTGTCGTGGCAAATAAACGCGAGCGTCGGCTTGAGTGACAAGTCCTTCAGCTGTGCAGCTGCGGGAGAAGTTTAGTGTCCGCGAAACTATACAAATAACCCAGCCGACCCTACCTATATCTTCGCGATGATTAATTACGTGAGTAGCACCATTTTTCTTAGCCCAATCGATGGTCTCTTGTCGAGAAGCAGTGACGATGATGTTCTTGACATTGAAAATCTGTATAGGGACCCTCAATCAGACCGAAGTATTGGCTATAGGTCTGCGTATAACACTCACTCTGGCAGCCAACTGCGTAGCCATCGAGCCAACGCCGCCAGCCCCATTGACGATCAACAACGTATGCTCCTTCGTCTGCTTTTCAAACGGCTTCAGCCCGAACTGCTCCTCCAGCATCTCCCAAGCGGTAAGCCCAACGAGCGGCAGCCCCGCGGCATCCTCCCAGCTCCACCCCTTCGGCTTCCTGCCCACAATCCTCGAATCCACCACGCCATACTGCGCGTTCGTGCCATCCCGGGCAACCGCGCCCGCGTACATCACCTCATCGCCCTTTTTGAATAGCGCCTTCTCCCCCGCCTGCTCTACCAGACCAGCAGCATCGTAGCCGAGGATACGGTTCGGTCTGGTGTTGGAGCTCCGGACCTTCGTGTCGACGGGATTGAGTGCGACACCACGGATCTTGACTAGGATGTCATATGCGCTCTCCAGCGCTGGGACAGGTACTGTTGCAAGCGAGAGCACCTGCGCCGCTGGTCCGGGCTTAGAGGTGAGGATTGCTCGCATTTGGGAGGCCATGATGGGTACAGTTGGGATGTGCGCGCAGTGGCTCGAGCTCTTATGTCTGAGCCCTCTATGACAACTCCATGACGAAAGGGATATTTATGTCGAATGAGTCCTTTTGGCGCTTGATTTGTGAGCTACCTAGTTCCACTACTGTCCGAATATAACCCGCCGATGCCCCCCTTCAAACATCGGGCAACTGCAATTGCCAGGACGGAGAGACAGATTCAGCCAGCTAAAGCGACAGGCTATGCTTTATGTTATGTATGACATGTTTGGTGTAATAAATAAGCCCATCTAGAGGGACCTAAACTAGACGTACAGGAAGTCAGTATGACCGTCAGAGTTGGGGTGTCATACCGCAAGCAGAACAAATTGAAAGAGAGGGCGGGGGGGGGGGGGT